TGACCTTTTGGTGCATGGGATGATGCTCAACCAACTAAGCTACACTGGCCAGGGCATCAATATCTAGTTTTTATCATACCCCATGGTACCTACTCACACTCTTTGTCAAATATTTCTTGCTCTCCATCTCCTAAGTACATGGAGGGTTGCCTTCCTGGCTCTTTTGTGGATGCACGAGGTCATGTGACTAGCTCTAGTTTCAGTGGTTTCATCCTGTGAAAACCATTCTCTTATGCTTCTGATATGTCAGCCACTACTAGGTTCTGGGGACTTTGTGAACACATAATTATAACAGAATATTAAACAACGTATGTGTATAGAGCTGTGGTATCACAGAAGTGAACATGGCTTAGTTGGTTTAGTCATTGGATCTGGCACTCAAGTTGTGAGATTTACCAAATAAAAACACAGGGCACCTGGTTATATCTGAATTTCAGGTAAACAACAAATAATTGTTTTTATTATATGTATATCTCAAATATTCCATGAGACATGCTTACACTAAAAATGTATTTGTTGTTTATCTGAAGTTCACATTTCACTGGCGTCCTCTATATTGTTTGGCCACCCTAGCTGGTGCACCGGAAGTAATTAGTAGATGAAGTTATGTGGGGTCAGTGTAGGAAAGTTACCAAGGCCTCAGGAGATGTTGGAGTTCGTGAAGAAGAGTTGAGGAAAAATGAGGATATTAGGAAGTAAGGATATGGAAAGAGGTGCATCAAAGTTGGGGGATCAAAACTGAATTTCTGATTTCACATTTTTCTGGAAGTTAAAGCCAAAGTAATGAGAACCAGAACAGAAATGAGAAGAATGATCTCTGCCTATTGGAAAAAAGGAAAAAAAATTACTATTTTCAGGAAATACTGTCTTAAATAAAACACCAAAAACAAAACAAAACAAAACCAAAAAAAACATGAGAATCAGTCAAAAAATATTGGAATCGATGCGAGTTCAGTAAGATCATTAAGTATGAAATAAACATTAAAAAGTCAGTAGCCTTCTGTAATAGCAATAAACAGCTAGAAAATATAATGGGAAAAGATTGCCTTTGGAGTACCATCAAAAAGATGAAGCAACTGCAAAACCATGAAATGTGCTGGACTTACATGAAAAACAAAGTTAACACTATCAGAGACATAAAAGCAGATAAAAGACAGGGACTCATGCCATGTTCCTAAGAGAAAACCTAATAGCATAAAGAGGTAAATTTTCTCAAAATTTATTCATGGGATGAATGAAATTGGAACCAAGATCTCTGTAGAATATGCATGGAACTTCAAAAGGATGCTAACATTTACCTGAAAGAATAAACTAATAAGAACAGCTAGGGCCCTGCTGGCATGCCTCAGTAGTTGAGCTTTGACCTATGAACCAGGAAGTCACTGTTGGATTTCCAGTCAGGGCTTATGCCCGGCTTGCGGGCTCGATCCCCTGCAGGGGTGTGCAGGAGGCAGCCAATCAATGATTCTGTTATCACTGATGTTTCTCTCTCTCTCTCTCCCTCTCCCATCCTCTCTAAAATAAATAAAAAAATATTTTTTAAAAAGGAACAGGTAGGGAAATTTCAGAGAAAGTATTAACTAAGCATATAGCTAACCTGAACTGACATTAAAACATTCCTTCCATCTCTGTTGCATTTTGGGGAAGGAATAAGCAGAGGAGACAACAGATTGGAGTTGAGCGCCCAGAAACAGACCTAGTGAGTCCAACACCTACTTGTGAGAAGATGTGAGAGAAAACAGATCAGTGGGAAAGAGGAGAATCACTCAAGAAAAGATGCTAGATGCTTGGATATCTACTTGGGGGGAAATATAATTTTCATCTCATTGGAAACAGTAATTTCCAGGTGTGTTAAAGAATTACGTGTGAAAATTAAACCAAACATGAAGAAAATGAGGGCAAATATGTATCTGATCTTTGAGCTTTAATCATTTCCCCTGTGTGGTTAAAGGACGTTGAGCCAGTAAATCCAGCCAATCAGAAGACGTCAGAGGTTTTTAATGCAGTTAGACCATCACCATCAGCATCATCAAGACCAGAGATTTCAGGAGTCTAACTACAGCTTGGCGGTGGGAGAGATTATAAAAGGATATAGAAACCTACAGTAGCTTCCTTGGTAATGTGCTCTGAATACTATGCATCTAGACACAAAGGAATATGCCAGGGATATCTCTGTCAGATGGTTTGTAAAAGGGTAGTTTTTTTTTTTTGTTTGTTTGTTTTTTTTAAACCTATTTTATTATTCCCACGGACAAGACCGCCCCACAATTCAGGTATTTTAGACTCCATGCCTAGCATAATCAGATTCAGTGTTTCCCACTTGCTATGTTTTCTTTTCTCAGTCGCTGGAAATATGATCTAAGTCTGTTTCACTGTAATCAATAAAATATTGTATCGGGTGTATGGAATCAGATCTGTCTGTGTTTTTATAAATACACCTTAGAGAGGGATGGGAACGGACCAAACAAGGCAGACTTGTTTGTGCTTTTAAATATAGATGCGCAGCACGAAACAGCACGACTGGCCATAAAACGAAACCCGAACTCTGAAAATGAGATTGTAGTTGCTACATGTGTACGTGGTTTTCCTGGGAGACAAATCTTCTTTCATTTGGACAAACACATATGAGGGTTTCTTATGGAGGATGAGGAAGTAACTGCAGCCACATGGGCCTTGGAGGGCAGAGTAGCTGGCCAACCACTGGCAGGATTTCTACCCTCACAGTTCTCACCAAGCCACACTGCTGATTGGCCGCCACTTCTTCCTGAAGTATTTAATATTCTATGAGGCCATCACCATTGGCCTAGGATACTAGAGGCTTGACTATCTAGGCAGCAATGGCTCAACATGAAAATGGGTGTCAGGGCTCTCCCACTCAAAACTGAAAGGTACTTGGTCCAGTGAGACTAGATCTGACTTGGTTGAACTTAAGGTCCTGGGCCCTGGCAGAGTAGTTCAGTTGGTTAGAGCAGCGTTTTTCAACCGCTGTTCCGCGGCACACTAGTCTGCCGCGAGATGTTGCCTGGTGTGCCGTAGGTGCAGACAAGACAAGAATTTTATAATTTTTCACTATTTTGTTTACTTAATATTTCATAATAAAGTAATTATGAAATACTTTCTTTGTGTTTATTTGATTCCTATTCAAGAGAATTACTTTATATATAGTCAATATAGGCACAGAGTTAAATTTTCTAATGGTGGTGTGCCTCGTGATTTCTTTCATGAAACAAGTGTGCCTTTGCCCAAAAAAGGTTGAAAAACACTGGGTTAGAGCATCATCCTGACACAGCGAGGGTTCAATCCCAGGTCAGGGCTCATGCAAGAATCAACCAATGAATGGATAAATAAGTGGAACAACTAACCAATATTTATATCTCTTTCTCTCTTTTAAATCAATCAATACAAAATAAATTTAAACCTTAAAGTCCCACATTTCACTCCCTCGAACAGTTTCTTTTGTTTTGTTTTGTTTTGTTTTGTTTTGTTAATCCTCACCAGAGGATATTTTCCCATCGATTTTTAGAGAGAGTGAAAGGGAGAGGGAGAGACACAGAGAGAGAAACATCGATGTGAGAGAGATACATCAATTGGTTGCCTCCCGCACGAGCCCTGACCAGGGCTGGGACTTGAGATTGCAACTGAGGTACATGCTTTTGATGGGCATCAAACCCGGGACCTTTCAGTCCACAGGCCAGTGCTCTGTCCACTGAATAAAAATAGCTAGGGCAGAACAATTTCTTGATTGAATATATGAAGGGAATAATCATTCTTTACACTTACATCCCCCCCAAATGGAGTCATCATTACAAACTGGGGATGGCCTACTCAATGCCAGTTTTTCTCGTTAGGCATCCACTTTCATGCTAATAAAACATGGAGGAGGAACTAATTAAAATCTAGTGTGATGTATCTATCTACTCTTTGTAGGCAACATCTGAGCGTTTTTGTTTCCCCATTTGTTTTAGTAAGATGTGCATGGAAACATCCACCAATAGAGAGGTATGCCCTGCTGTTGACCGGAAGTCGAAAGCTATAGGCACTCACAGAGCAAAGAGAATAACCCACTGAGCCTGGCTGCTGTCACAAACCCTACAGTCTACCTGGTGGGGAGAAGGAAGTAGGCTCACAGTTACTCTTTTTGCTTAGAACATAAAAGCGTGTGCTTCCTTCGGGGTCTTCATACAGAGCCAGTTGTTTAAGTAAAGATTGGGTGTTTGCCAGGATGCACAGGGTAGTAGACAATGGCAGAGCTGAAATGAGGAAATTAGAGGAGGAGGCCAAGATAGGGGAGATGGGAGGAACTGAATTTTCCTCTGGTACCATGACTATGTAAAATAAAGTCCTCAAAAACACACTCACTCCTCCTCCTCCCAACTTCTCTTGAGGGCTTATCTATAAGAGGCAGGTGGATCCTTGAATACACAGAGATGAACTAAACACGACCTTTCATGCGCACAGAGTCTAATGAGGGAGAAAAACCTGATTTCTAAAGGACAAGTCCGTTTTTTAAAGTCGTAAGTACTCTGTGTGGTGAGCAAAGTGCATGGGAGCACGGAAGGAGGACACCAACCTTCGTGACCGAGTCTGAAAGGCAAAGGAGTAAGTACTGCCCAGCACTCTCAGGGGAAGCTGTTGACATGCGCTGACTAAATATCCGTTCCAATACAAAAAGAGGCTAAGAGATGTAACTCCTGTGCCTGCCTCTAAGCTTTTAGGTCGTCTTCTGTCTTGCTCCTCTCTCTCATGAAATGTCATCAGCTGCCTGCATGACCCGTATTCACAGAGACAACCAGGGGCCACAGGAAGAGAGGAAGGATGCCTAGTTTATACTGAGCTTCATCCTTCTACTTATGACTGACAGAGTAGAAAATGCAAATTCAGTATCAGCCTTTGTTAATCCTACCTATAGTTGGCTGAATAATTGCTCCCCCAAATATCCGGGCTTGAATCCCTAGAACTTGGAAATATGTTACTTTCCATCATCAAAGGGACAATGGTAGGGAACACCTGGTCCACGGGCCATATAAGGCCAGTGAAATCCTTTGGTCTGGCCCTGCCAAGGCATTAGGAGTGAGTTAATTAAATGTTTGACCAAATATAGCAGGCTTATGATGAAGTTGATAATTTTGTATGGCCTGTGAATGATGTTATAAATATCCAAAAGGCCATTGGCAGAAACAAGGTTCCCCATATCTGATATAGAAGAAAATATGATCATGGGAGTGATGCAAGGAAAGGGCCACAAGCCAAGGAATGCAGGTGCCTCTAGAAGCTGGAAAAGGCCAGTCCTCAGAAGGAATGCAACCCTACTGATGCCCTGATTTTAGATTTCTGGTCTCTGGAACTGTAAGTGAATACATTTGTGTGTTTTTTTAAGTCACTATTTTTGTGGTTATTTGTAATAGCCGCACCAGGAAACGAATGCTGCACTAGGATCCTCGTGGGCAGAAACGGAGGTCTCAAAGCTAGTGAGTTCTTAGAAAGTCTCAAAAGGCACCCTCTTACATCAGTTTCATGGGACCTTTGATGACACTTTCAGAAAGGAGAATGCCACATAGTTCCTCATTTTGCATGTGTCTTAATGGGACACACAGCTGGGCTGTGTCAGACTGGGGTAAATGAGACCTTAGTTCTATGTGTGTTTCCCTCCTGGACCATTTTTCTGACCTTGGGCCCCGGTTGTATCTCCATATCTGATGTCAGCTATTTTCCCTCTACACAGTGAACTTAGAGATTTTTGCTCAAACTGGTACCACCGCTCCTGCGCCTCAATGGGCAAAGCCTAATGCTGTGGAGCCAGAATGCTGTTGGAAGTGCTGACTGACTCCTAGTAGCGCCGCAGTTTGGACCAACCACTTAACCTCTCCTGACCTGTAAAATGGGATAATAGCACAGATCATTCCTGACTCACCGGGTTGTGGAGGATCAAACGTATAATACATGTGAAGGGGCTTTATAAATTCTATAATGCTATTCACATGTGAAGAATTATTACATTTATGCGCTCCAAAAGGCTGGCACGGCCCCTCTCCCAGGTGACTCAAAAGCATATGTGATTTTATTCGCTCCAATAATTTTATTCTTATTAGTACTTGTTCAGTATACTATGTGGGCATGCACAATGCACAAAGCATTTATTCTTCTTCTGGATACAGTAACTGCACACCCCGTTCCCTCCAAACGTACCCTCGTTAAAAAAAAAAAAATAAGACTCATGAAACAAAACAAAAGCAAGGACAGGGGTGACGGGTGGCACTGGTCCTGAGAACCGTGTATCCTGGAGAGCACTCACCTATCACTTTGCGGATGAGCTGCTTTGCGGAGAAGATAGCCCATTCTTTTACCCAAATAGCCCCCTACACACAGATCTTTTGGCCTTTCTTCTCTCTCTCTCTCTTTCACTTTAATTTTTAACGTGGTTTCCCAACCCTCCACTTCAAGAGGTAAATACAATTCTGGCAGGGCCCTGGTCTAATTTAGTTTATTAGGGCTTTTACTACAAGTTTTTAAGCACTCACTGATTTTCAAAAGCATATTAAAATGGCCATGGCCAATCTCGAAGATTGGTACAAGTCCACATTTCCCAAACGACTTAATAGTCTGCGACTTGTGCCAGACAGAGAATGAGTTCACCATTCTCTTCCCCGCCACCTAAAGGCTGGACATTGTTTTCGGCTCTGCGCTGGGAGGAAGCCATTAGCTCTGCCCCGCTGGTCTCCTCCCCGGTATTCCCTCCTCTGGCTTTTATAGGCCCCCCTGTCCTGGAGGGCACGTTAAGTCCCCAAAGAACTTCTTTGTGGGCCATTTGGGGGACTCCCAGTTCTGCCCTGGCTCGTTCTTGGAAGGCGGAGCTCCCAGGAATTTTTCCAAAGGTTGGTATTTGGGGCCGGGGACCCTATCCTATGGCAAAACAGTTACAACTGGGAGTTATGTCTCTACGTCTTTCCCCCCTTCTCTTTCTCTGTCTCATTTCCAATTGCCAAAGGCAAATTCAGCAGATGTGTATGTACAGCAAATAAATGAAAGGCTAAATAGGTGGGCAGCTTCTCATGCCAAGTTCTGTGGTGAAAATTGGAGGATAGAGGCGAACACACACAACATGTATGTACCACAGAGCACCCTGGGTGACGACTGGGATTAGAGTCCGGGTCAGGCCCACGGAGGTACAAAGGAGACGTGGTTCACGGCATGGACAGGCACTGAGGGAAACAAAGGCAGCCGGTTCCCCAAAACAAGACCAGTTCACCCACCCACGGAACTCTGCTAAGCAAACATGGTGTCTGAGATGCAAATGCTGCTTCCTACTGGAAGATCGTTACTATTACCAAACTCACCCTGGGGCCAGGTCATTTCACTGCTAAACTGAGACAAGGCACACAACATCTGCCAGCCTCTGGGGGCTGATCTAAGCATCAATGTGGATCATGAGAACACTTTATATGAAAAATGTTTGAACCCTTTCTAAAATGCCACCGAAGCGCCAAGGAGCATGTGTATATCCCCTATGTAATTACAGCTACACATCTAGTGAAGTCTTTAGAATACCCAAACCAAAGTTACTGTTTAGGTTCTTTCATGGAGTAGACATGCATGCATAGGGATGCTTACATATGTATATATGTGATATAGATCTAAATGCACATACAAGAGAAAGGAAGCCATGGGAAGGTAGCGGGCAATGGGGTGAGCAGGGAAGTCCCAGGGGATGCGTTTGTAGCTGTGATAGGCGTTAGGAGTTCATTCTCAGGAACCAGACTACTGAGCTACCACTGACAGCTGTGTCATCCTGGGTGAGTCATTTTACCTCTGTCCCTAAACCTCAATTCCATAATCTGTGAAATGGAGACACAACAGTGTCTGCCTCATCAGGTTGCTGAGAAGATGAAATAATATCCTATAGAAAGTACTTTGTAAAGGGTCTGGCACCCAATAAATGCTCAATCACTGGTAACTATACTGTTCTAATAGGAATTATTATTATTTTTTTTTAACATTGAGAAAACTCCTATGTCAGAGACCAGGATACCCAAAGAACAGAAATAGGGTCTAAAACTTTCCAGATGAAAAGACATTCATGTAGAAAAGATGGAAATTCTTTGCGATGTCATGCTGTAGGGGTTACTGACTTCACACAGAATTAGCATTCTTTTTAAATAACAACAAAACATATCACTCGTTCCCTAGACTAAAATAACCAACCGGCCCTGGGGGAAGGCATGTATTATGTTAGCAAATTGGAATAGAAACTCCTTTGAAAGCTGCTCAATAAAGAGCCCTTAATGCGCTCTATGTAATGGAGGGCCACGTATTTCGTAGTTAATGAACCCAGAAGCCAAAGCCAATCGTGTGGCCTGAAAATCGGCGCGCGTTCCTTGATGCTACAAGGTAAATTAGCGTCAAGTCCTCTGTCGTGAAACTTTCAATAAAGGACCGATTATACCAGGCATTAAGCCTTTCTCTAATTACAGCTATAAATATAGATAATCAAGTCGTTTTGAGTACTAACATCAATTTCACTGTTTATGCTCTTGCCATGCTATATATTTAGCTGTTGACTTTTAACTTGAAGACATAAGCAGCTGGTGAAAAATATCCTTAGAATACTAATTATGTTGTCATGGGGGATACGAATGAATGTTGCCGAGAGGAGAGTTAATAAGAATTGAAAAGAGTGGAATTGTTTTACCAACTAAAACACTATAGACAGGGAGAACCTATGGTTTTGTTTCCTAAATTAGATGCTACCTAGTGTTCTCTGGCTATTTTCAAAAGTGTCATCTCAACCATGAAGTTCTCTTTAAGTGCTTAGTTGCCTGAGCACGCCTGGGGCTCGGACCCGTTACACAAGAATCATGGGATGTGAACGTAGGGGTTCTGTGGAGAGATAGGAGTGCGGTTACAGAGGAGGCTGTGAATCACCTCCCCCATAAGCAGGGATGAAGACCACAGACAAGCTCACTCACCTAGTCGCAGGCAGGTCCAAGATGGCAGTCCTGGTAAGTTAACTCTGCCTATTCGACTTCCATGTTAGAGGAGGGGAGTGATTTCAATCCCACAGGAATGGTGGTCCAAGGAGCCATCAGAGGGACCCTCCTTCCCCGTCAAATAAGGGATGTAGAGAGGCCAAAACAATTCTCACCAACACTCCATATAGGAGAAGAGTGGAAGATTACATGAATCCTATATTAATCACTTCTTCCTCTGTGAATCATGGTTTTTTTAAACACTCTATTTTTTAAACAATTATATACAGCTATTCAGTCACACAAAACTATTTCTTTATTGGTCAGGCATCACATGATGGGGAGATGGGGATGTTCTCAGTGCACTGGCTTTTGTATGAGAGTGCACAGTGAATGCTGCTCGAACTGAGGCTAAGACAGGGGAGTTGCTGTCATCTCTAGATGTGGGGAGAAAGGAAGGACTGACTGGTCTCTGAACTTAGTAAGTCTTTATCCACTAAGCACTGGTCTCTGAACTGGGCATCTTACAAACATGGTTTCATGTTTTCCTTAAGAGAATTCCCAGGGAGGCTGGTCACTTGATTTTACAGAGTAAGCAACTGAGACTAGGCTGGGTAAGTGACTTGCCCAAGGTCACAGAGCACACGAGAGGCAGAGCAGATGGAAACCCAAGTCTCAGAGGATCTCCCTTCTTCACCTCCAGCTCCTTCCAGGTTTCTGTGTTCCCAGCTGGCATAGTGGTCGCACAACCAAAGCCCATCCTACTGTCTCTAGGAATGTCTCAATGTTTGCCTGTTTCTCCCCCTCCTCCAGCCTTGACTTCTCTCGTTCCAGGACCTGGGGCTTGACCTGGACAAACCGGGGCATGTATTTATTATTATGTATTAGTTGCCAGGACCACCGAGCACAGCACTTCAACTAGGGGAATATCAAGTGTTCCAAACAGAGTTATAGTGGGGCACAGTTATAGTGGGGCCTCCTCAGCCAGCATCCAGAGGGCAAAGGCGCCCTGGCCAGCAGAAGTCTGTCCTGCGGCCTCTGGTTAAGGAAACCCAAGGGGTTTGCTTCCCAGCTCCCTGAGTTACTAGGAGCTCACAAAATGCAGTTACACCTGCCCACGCCCTTATGGTGCAGGCTACTCATCAGCATATAAAAGGCTTGGGAAGTTCTGAAGCAAATGACAAATAAATCACATTATCCCCTTCACCCCATGCCTTCCAA